CTTCCCCTTTCCCTCTCCTTCAAACAACGGTCATGGCAATTGTAATTTTTAGCCCCTTTAATGAGTCGGCCTGTTACTTGTATGCCATTTTTTATTTCTTTCTTCTTTTTTCTCCTCTCTTTCTTTCATCCCTCTGGAAGTTTGAGACATATCACCAAGTATTCTTTGGAAACACGTTTCCTTTGCTTCGTTAAGGTGGCCCTTGCTTCAGCTCCACAAACGCTCAGCACAAGAACGTTGAAGGTATAGTTGCAGAGAAAAGCGAGTGGAGAATGGTTTCTGTATTTATCTTCACAGTTTTCGGGTCGTCTTATATTAGCAGATTAAGCCTAGTCTGTAGGAGTTCCTGATTTTACAATGCCTTTCCACAACATGAAACTTGTAAATGTTGACGTAACAAGATGTAAACATGGTAAAAATATTCGCAGTCAAGTTCTCTGCATCTACTGTGAATTTGCCTGGCAATTCAGACAAATACTTTTGAATGGACGGGTAGAGAGAGAATCTCAAACAAATAGCATTGTAACTAGAGAAACATAACATGAAAATGAATAACAAGATTTAGTTACACAATACACATTAGACAAAATTGCGCGAATCTCAATTCAACGCCTGGCTAGTGTGAATCTGTATTTTGCAAGAGAAGGAAATGAAAAATTTGGATGTGCTGACGTACAGCCAATCACAGAAAATGATGACAAATATTTTCTAAGCAAAACTTCCCGAACTTGGAAACTTGCCGCTGTCTCCTACTTCACCTGGAAAATGGACGGACAAATGTAAGAGTTTGCAGTTCTCAACTAGATCACACGAATAGTAAATGATGCTAATTTCAAGTTTATTCTTTAATAGAATGTGAAAGAACAGTTAAAGAAACAAGAGTCCATCAACAAGTTCGTGGAACATAGAAAATTTGATGAAAACATAGAAAAGAGATTGATGAAGGTCATCTGATCAAAGACCAAGAACAATGCAAATTCAATGCACAAAACTTTCAGATGGGCCTAAAGTGTCAGAAGATGATGCAGCATGGAAGGAGAACCAAAAAGAAACGTTGATACACGAGCACAAGACGTGGGTAGTGACAAAAATCATGATTATGATGATTTTAAGGAACAAGAAAATAACGAGTCCTGTAGTAAGTCTTAACATTCTCATCAAGGCAATTTTCTAGTCAATAAGACAATTTGCAATCTTATTTTGATTTTGTAGCTTATTTTTTAAACTACTTTTGAAGAGCACTTTTCAAAATTAGAGGATTGGCTCATATTCGTATAAATACAGTATCTTGTAACAAACAGGATATTTTGGAATGTGGTAATTTTGCGATTCATCCTAATCTCATCGCATCATTGGATATCTTATGTTCCTTGCTTCTGCATTTATGAACAGCAGCAAAACAGGTCAGTATAGAAGAAGAAGCAGCATTAGGTCACTGTCCATGAATCACTGGTACAAGCCAATGACACTTGTGACCGCTAAAATTTGTACAAAATACTGCAATTACAACACACTGACCTGCAGAGAGCACTCTCATTATCTCTGAGAAATGTAATACTGAATAATATTGTTCTACCTGGCAAAGTATCTTGGGCTACTGAAACTTAGCACTGTCTACCTTGTAACACATATAAATATACCACTATAAATTAAAAGAAATAATTGTGGTGACTTTGGAGCTACATTTCTTGTATTATGTCTTTGAAGAGAAAAATTCTTATTTTTTAAGAGTATTTTTTATATGCTTTTTTTGTCATAAAATAAAAATAAACATGAATACAAATATATTAAATGGTTTCATTTACTGTTCCTCTTTTCATTTGTAGGAATTTCTGAACTATTTATGAAGTTGAACATTTGGATATTAATGCCATTTCTTATGACATGCAAAAAATGTCATGAAAACCAAACCGCAAAAACAATTTTGCCTATTATTCTAAATTCTTTCAATTAAAAAGGTAACCATTATATTAAGAGAGAATAATGAATTTTAACCTCAAAAAAAAAAATTTTGTAGTGACCAATTAAAAGGCCATGAATATTGGAGTGGAATATATTCCACCTATGATCATATTCCAAAATTAAACGTGTATTATGTACACAAGGGTTAATGTCTTCCTTACTGAAGCTTAATTTCTGCACTCAAAAGTAATGTTATTCATGGTCTGTCATTGAATCCACAATCATTAATAGCAGTAATTTTACTTCACCTTCATTTTCATCATACCACAGATATTCCAGAGATTAACCAGAACTTTTGTTTTAGCAAGTATAAATGTCTAAGGCTCAGATGAATTTTATGAACACTTTTTAGTTTCATTATATTTTAATTTATTATTACAAACCAAAAGATTCAAGGTTATTAACACAAGGTTTCAAGGACAGAGTTATCAACAAGATTAAAAGCTACTCCTGAAAAACCTCAGATTTCACACTCCACCAAAATGTAAAGGTGAGGTTAAAGATAAATCACATAACATTTGCATTTCCTCAAAGTCCAGCAAACGGGATTTTTCTATGGTGGAGATAGTGTCTGTAATGACCAGCCAACTTTAAGTTTTCTTATAAAAAACGTTTAAGCTGCATTTAAAAACTTATTTTTATTTACATAATTTTTTATTAGATATTATGATAATCAGATATTATTATATTTATTATTATAATTATAATAATTAGATAATGGATTTGATTGGCTAGATATTCTACATAAATAAGAATAGAAAGGTAGCAATCACATATATTTATTCTTTGTAGAAGACCAACAAAGGAGAGAGAAATCCCAAATATTACAAAATTTTTGGGTAATCCGAAAATGTTACGTTAATGTTATCATTTGACAGTTTATTGAAAATTGAGCAGTAAAATACATAATTGTGGAGTATCTATGTTGGATCAATCTTACACTTTTCTGGAAACAAAAATGCCTAACTTATGGGGGTTTTAATCTCCGCAAATAATTTCTCTTAATCTCCGCAAATA